TCACCCCATCCATACGGACACTCACACTCACTGTTTTATAGCCTGCTGTACCTGGACACGGTCAGCTGTACGCATCTCCACAGGAACCACCAGACATTTCATTCAAATGACTTTTAAATCTGAACACTGCTGCTGTCACTGAGGACTCGTGACATGAAGACTCAAAAAAATGATTATTTATTCCATTATTGACACTCCTGATGTGGTATAATTATAATATTTATTTGATTAAATGAATGTATCACTGTAAATGTGTCGACATTAATGGATCTACTGAGTAAAAACATTCACAGAAGTAAGCTTGTCTCTTCTTATAGCTGTTATATCCACAGGCATATTCAGGTAATTCAGACAGCCAAGATAAAAATCCTGACTGTACTTTTCATTTCATTTAAAATGAAAGACATGACAGATGTTTCATAATAAATTCATAAACGATAGTGATGTACGATGTGAATGAGTCCTGTGTTTTCTACCATCTGCACGTTTACAACTGTGTTAGGCCAATAGGTAAAGCATTCTAGTGGCATCAAAAAAATTTCCATAAAATACCACATTAACATCAATTTTCACTGATTTTTCAAAATATATATCTATATTTCAGTCATTGACCTGTAAAAAGTCATTCAGAGTAGTTTGGTATGAAATGCTCTGCTGTTGAGAAACTTAGTGAGTCAGAATAGTTCACAGTGGTGCTGATAGGAACCAGACATCAGAAGAGTTTAATGACTGTAAAAGCTCCCTCACAGAAAGTAAGCATGTATATAGGTTCTAGACTCTAGACTCTCTGTCTAATGCCTGAGTTTTTAAGTATTAAGTTTCTCCTCTGCTGAAAAAAAAACCCAGTAGAAACCATTAGGATTAAAACCTAATGGTTTTGCCTTTTAAAATGGTAATTGGCTTAATGGTTTCCAATAGAGACTCCTAGTTTTCTGTAGGACATCTTTAGATCCCATTAGGAAGCCATCTACTGTATTTAGAATCAGCCATTGGTCACCATTAACATTAGGATCCTTTACACTGTGATATCAACTCATTTAAAAAGCCAAAACACACTTCCTATTTTTGTTCAGTGTTTGTAATTTGCTGAAACCTTTTACATGAATTGAAAATTCAAAATGAAAAAAAGGAATTCAAAATAATTGACAAAACAGAGTGATGAAAGTCAAAAACAAAACAACTGCAGTAAAAGTCTGCATTAAAAATAAAACAAATCTGAAACAAAACAACTGTGATAAAAGTCTACATTTAAAAATAACAAAAAATCAGAAATAAGACAACTGTGATAAAAGTCTGCATTAAAAAATAACAAAAAATCAGAAATAAGTTAACTGCGATAAAACTCTGCATTAAAAAATAACAAAAATCAGAAATAAGACAACTGCGATAAAAGTCTGCATTAAAAAATAACAAAAAATCAGAAATAAGACAACTGCGATAAAAGTCTGCATTAAAAAATAACAAAAAATCAGAAATAAGACAACTGCGATAAAAGTCTGCATTAAAAAATAACAAAAAATCAGAAATAAGACAACTGCGATAAAAGTCTGCATTAAAAAATAACAAAAAATCAGAAATAAGACAACTGTGATAAAAGTCAACTTCAAAAACAAAACAAGTGCAGAGTCAAAACGACTGCGATAAAAGTCTACATTAAAAAATAACTAAATAAATAAATAACTTAGTGGTTAAAAATAAACAAAAACAGCTGTAATAAAAGCCCTCATTTAAAAAACTGAAGTTTACAACCAAACGGAGCGATGAGCGTCAACAGCAACCAAGAAAACAGAAAGTAAAAATCGCGCCTTCCTGCTTGGGCCAACCAATCGGATCACTCCGTCTGTGAAGCCCCGCCCCGTCCGAACCCGACAGCAGCGCGGTTCTCTCCGCGTGCATTTCCGTGAGCAGAGCGCGTGCGGCGATTCGAGGCGAGGAAACGGTGAGAAAACAAAAAAAACCTGAGTCGTTTTCGGTCGCGTTGAGGCTTCAGTGCCGTTTTGAGCCGTTAGTCGTTGAGCTGTTCGGTCTATTTTCAGCCGTACGGGGTTTTGTAAGCGCGCGGCTCGTCTCGGCCTCGCCGTGACTCGTTAATGGTGTAAGAGCGACGAGGCTGAAGTCGCTTCCTATTCTCCCGAATTCCCCGTTCCACCTTAAATGGTACAGCACTTACCGTAACGCTGTAGGCGCCAGAACGTACCTGCTGCGCCATTTAAGGTGGAACGGGAAAGTTCGAACACGAAGCGGGCGAATGGGAAGCCGATGTCAGGAGGCCGTGCGGTGGCGTTGTCGTTAGCAGCGGGGAGAGAGAGCCGGAGCCTCGGGAGGGGTTAAACGCGGAACCGCCGGTCTGAGAGGGTTTAATCCGCGCTGCGAGCGTTTGTGGGTTTAATCCGAAGGTTGAAGTTCATCGTAGCCGGTTCTGTTTAGCTTCGTTACCGCCTTGTTTGAACAAAGCAGCCGATAGCTTGAGGCTAAAGTTAGCTGGTTAACTTACTTGGTCGAATTTTCCGTTCCACCTTAAATTGTGCGGCAGTTATATTGTGGTACATGTACACAGATAGGTTCTGGGCCCTGCTGTGCCTTTTAAGGTGGAACGTAAAGTTCAAATATAAAGCTGGAGAATAAGAACCCAGCGTCTCAGCCTGGTGTTAGCCTATTAGCCTGTTAGCCTGCGGCCTTTAGCTCCTTTATTAGCCTGGAGCTCCTGCGCAGCTTAGTAACGAGCTGCGCGTGATACTTAAATCTGCAGGCGGCTGTTTGTGAAAAATCTTCTCTCTTCTCTTTTGATTTCTGTTCATCCTTCATATGTTCGGTTTCAGTTCGAGAGGTTAGCTTTATAAACGCTCTGCTGCCACCTTGATGCTAGTTGTTTGTATCCTAGCTTGCTAGCTAGCTAACTGGGCTAATTTCGCACAGTCGTTGGTAGAATTGACCTAAAAGGGAAATTCCACCAATTTTTCCTAAATTCTTCAGTGAGATATAAACAAAGTCGTTCAGAGTGGTTTGGTGTGAAATTTCTCCTTTCTAGAGAAACCCACAGATTCAGAAATGTTCACAGTGGTGATGGGAACCAGACGTCTGATGAGTATAGTGGCTCTGAAAGCTTCCTAACAGATATTTAGTACATTATGTCGTTATATTTGTGCTGCTTAACGTCTGAAACTTAATTTTATGATAGTTTAGTGATAGTTTTGGGTTATGAACTTATCTTTCTAATCTAGGTTAGGTTATTTATTTTGATCCATTTAAAGCGAAGGGATACATGCAAGGTGTTTTAAGGCAAAATAGCCCCCAAAGAAAATTTCTCATTTCAGATATACGTCTGTTTTAACATCAGTATTACATATAAAAACTCAGACACCTGCAGTTTCACTGGTGGTAAATAAAATGGTTATATTTGTGTTGTAGACATGGTGACCCCTGGTTTCCATCACCTCCACCGTAAGGACAGTTGAGTCTAAGGCCCGAAACATACTTCACGCGAGGACGCGAACGTAGATGCCTCAAGCTACGCAGACAGGGTTTCACGCATAGTTGCGTTCAAAAATGTGTCACTACGCATTTCATAACATGACGCAAGTGTGAGCTGCATTCTGAGCAGTACAGTAAGGGGCGCCAACACAGCCAAACCTGACCAAGCGGTCTTGTGCCGCCAGCCTGCTTCTCATCTGCTATAGGAGACGAGCAGTTGAGTCTCACGCAAAGATGGCTTAAAAATATGATTAATTATCGCATTTGCAATCCATGAGTTGAGGTAAAGCAGCTCATTCTTCTTTACTGTCCACGTTTAGCTGTTGAGGCTGTTGGAATAACAGTAGATCCCTCTCCGATTTGTGCTCTAACACCCCCTTCAGTACTGAGTGTTTTAACCACCACAGCAACGTAAGAATGCGCAGTGAGCTTGTACAGAAGGACCGAGCATTTGCAGTGCGTTCTCTGAGCGCTGTCATTTGTGTTCGTGTCCTTGCGTAAAGTACGTTTTGGGCCAGTTCATCTGAAAGGAACCTCTTCGCATCAGACCACTCTGAATGACTGCTTACATCTCAAGGACTGAATTATTTGGGATTTTTTGAAGAGATGGTGGGATTCCCCTTTAAGTTGTTAAGATGTAAAAACAAACATTCAGGGTGGTTTGGTTTGCTGAGACCTCATAAACATTTAGGCTGATGTTTCTGTACGAAAAAAATTAGAAGCGACTTATCGCAACCGCTCCGTGTTTGAAGAGATTTCAAAAGAAACGGCCGGAGGAGAACGAGGCTCTTGCTCAGAAAAAAGGTTTAAAGAATCCAAGGACGCGAACCAAAGAAGTGACCGTGGGCAAATAACATGCCTCTTTTACGGCTCGAGCACACTGTGGGTGATGAGCCCAGCTGTCAGTCAGTGAAGCTTCATGTTGGCTCCTGTGATGCTGCTGAAGATGAAGCTGAAAGCTCCGGGAGAGACTGGCGTTCGTTGGCAGTTATGAATGTTTACCTTTGGATGAGCAACATGAAGCATTGTTCTTTTGCGCATTCGGGTCGGTTTAGGAGCTGATCTGTTCAGACTAGTATCACATATAGACCACGTTTAAAAGATAATGTGAACGTAATGTGAGTGCACCCAGCCTATGAAATAATAACATTGTTGGACATTTTAAAATGATAGTTTGAAGACATTTGGTGAAATTGTATTGAGGTACTGAATAAAGGCTCAGATAACAACAAATAGCACAGACGCTGTACCAAGAATGTACTGCGTTGCCCTAACCTGAAGCTTATGTTTTTGCTTTGTCAAAGTATCTTGAGTTTGCAGTGCATGGTTGCCTTAATTTAATACTCTTTCAGGTTACAGATTAGGGATGTCTTACTCGTCACGGAGTACGGTTGACTGCAAGGTCTACGTGGGGGACCTGGGCAACGGCGCAGCGAAGGGTGAGCTGGAGAGGGCGTTCAGCTACTACGGGCCGCTGCGAAGTGTTTGGGTGGCGCGCAACCCGCCAGGTTTCGCCTTCGTGGAGTTCGAGGATTCCAGAGATGCTGAGGACGCCGTGAAGGGGATGGATGGAAAGTGAGTCAGCTTGAGTTCTATCTGCCTACCTTTGCCATGGTGCACATTTGACCCCCCTGACCTCTTCAGGGAGCTCAGCTCTGTAAGGGTGAGTGCTGGAAGGCCATATATGTTGTCGCTCAGAAGTAGGTTTTGTTTAAAAATAAATAAAATAATAAAGGGGTGGAGAACAACTAGGGTACAAACATATGATGAAGCTGATCTATGGAATGATGGTAAAGCCTGTGGTGTTTGTGTTGATTTCAAAATACTGTCTTAAATAAGGGTCCAGACATGTGTGAATATGTACTGCAGGCATCCCAGGATTGGCCCCTTGTTTATTTAGGCCCATTCCCCTATTACTTAGCCCTTACCTCTCCGTTTTGCACGTTCACGCCTAGGGGGTAGGGTGTCCCAATTTTTGTTGATATAGAGGGGTAGGACTACATGGGTTAGGATTACATGGACCTCCAAACAGATGGTTTTTCAGAGGCTCCAAACGGTCATAAAAAGAAAGAACAGCAAGATGGCTGCTTACATGACCAAAAAAACCCACAAACAAGTATTGCAAGTAGTTTGCCGATGTCTTGGTAGCTGGCTTGCTAAATGTCCCGTTCCACCTTAAATGGTGCAGTAGTTCTGATGCCTGAGGTGCCAGAATGTAACTGCTGCACCATTTAAGGTGGAACAGGAAAATTCGAATGAGAAACTGGCGAATATCCGACTTCAGTTTCATATCACTGAAGAATTAGGGGTGGGTGATATAATTGTCCCCCCTCTTTGAAGGCATATGATTCCCTAAAGTTAACTAAAGCCCAGCAGTGAGGAGCTGAACTTTACCCTCCTCTGCTGTCACTGCAGACTGGCAGGGTCGCCTACAGAGCAGCACTAGTAGCTGTTAATGAAGTGATGTTCTTTTTGTTTGATGTTCCCATTTTGCAGGAGAAGATTTCAACCTCTACCCCTTATAACTCCTTTCCAAGGGGCAAGATGACACTCGAAAGCAAGGGGTAGGGGTAAAAATTAGAAATGGGATTGGGCCTTAGTCTGCTTAGTTTAGCATGCTAACACTTGTGGCCTTAAAAAGCACAACCAGTTAATCCCCGTTAACCTCTTTTGCCGTTTCCCAGGGTGCTCTGCGGGACCCGCATCCGCGTTGAAATGTCAAACGGGATGTCCCGGAAGTCTCGCTTTGGTCGGCCGAGCCGCAGACAGTTCGATCCAAATGACCGTTGCTACCAGTGCGGAGAATGTGGCCACTACGCCTACGACTGCTACCGCTACAACAAGAGAGGCAGCCGACGCAGCAGGTAAAGCCACGTTTCAGAAATGTCCAGGGTCAAGTGACAAAAATGCTCTTATACTTATAATTGATCTTTAAGACATGAACAGGACCAAAATGCCTCCACAGAGATGTTAAGATTATAACAATTTAATACAAAAGAACTTGTCAACGCAAAGAATCAATGCGAATGTCAATATTGCGCTATTAAACACAGCAGACCTTTTGTTCCCATTTATATAGTTATAAATCGCCCTGCTTTCTGATTGTGACTGGTCGTCTAACATCAAGAAAAATATATGAATGTCTACATTGTGTTTATATTCAATTTTCACATTTATGATAAGTTAAATGTTATTTTATGTATTTAAGAAGGGCCTGTTCACATTTTCAGACCACTGTTTTGGTGTCAAAGCTGCCATGTGTGTAATAATACAGGAAATGTTGCAGAAGCTCTGTTCTAAACCAAGCTCAGATAGTCTGGCCAGTATTTGCCTGGACCAGATTTGTAATCAGGTTAAGGCTACCTCAACTAAGACCTTAGTTAGACTACGACAGTTGAACTATGCTAGTTATATGATCATGTCTAGTCTGACTAATACTGAACCACTGGGGTGCAAGTAAGATGCAAGTGTAGTTGCTGTTAAAGCTCTTATTGTCTTTCATGGACTTTTTTCTCAAATTCAACAGCAGGCTATGATGTTTAATCTTTTCCCTCTCCAGGTCTCGGTCCAGGTCCCGTGGTCGCCGCTACTCTCGCAGCCGTAGCAATGAGCGGTAAGTACACATCTACCCATCATCTACCTATTACATAAACTCCGCCGCCCAACTAAAACCTAAAACTAATGCAGAGTTCAGTCGTTATGATACGATTATATATGATAATGTATTTTCAATAGGATGGTGCAGGTCAGATTCAGGGAGTCCAATTGCTAATGTACCTTTTATGTCCACTTTGTAGGAGATACCGTTCCCCATCCTACTCCAGACGAAGGAGCAGGTGAGTCATCCAGAGAAAATGCTAATTGAAAGTGGAACTGATTTGCATAGAGCTTAATGTCAGTTAATGTTGTAGGTCAAGAAAAATGGTAGGCACTGGACATGATGTTGCTGATGTTCACTGTCTCAGCTGATCCCTTTAGCTGTGTGTTGATGTAGAGGCTAATGATATGTAATAAGTTTCAGCACATTTCAAATTATTTACAATAATCCGAATTATGTTAGGTCACCATCCGCGGGCCGGTCCAGATCCAGATCGCCAGTCCGGCGTGATCGCTCCCCCGTGCGCAGATCCAGAAGCCCTGCTAGGAGGTCCAGAACGCCAGTCCGCAGGAGCAGGTAATGTGGTTGTTTTTGAATTTCATCCAGTTTTTAACCAAACTGGAACTGTGATTGGTCAGAATGCTCACGGCATACTCCTAAAAACACTGATTAGTTAGAGGCTCCTATGCATTCTGCAGTTTTGTGAGATATTGTATATTGATAAGGCCAGTGCTGCAATAACAAGTGTTTTATGTAGATTATGAATTGTGCAGCAGTGTTCATCTAGAGAATTTCAGTCTTAATTTTCAAATAATTTCAGTATTGGCAGCTTTTGTGAAAAATAAACACATGGTCAGTATTTTTCATTTAACCTCTGTCTGTACTTTCTCTGCTCACATTTCTGCTGCCCTGTGTATTGATATTTTGTGTTTGTGTGTTGTGAGCAGTCGTTCCCGCTCTCGTTCCCGCTCCGGCTCCAGACAGAGCGCGCGCAGCGCGTCCAGATCCCGCTCCCGTTCCCGCTCCCCCAGCAGCAAAAGAGACAGGTGAGTCCCCTCATATGGAGAGCAATCTCTTAAAGCAATAGTTTGGCTGGACAGACATGGGCCGCATTTCCACTGTCGAGCCAAATGGTTCTCAGGGCCGTACTGGGCCGTTCCATGCTGGTCCGGACACGTGAGACCGGTTACGGTTTCTGTTTCCACCTGTTGTACCGCTACATCAGAACCAGGAAATACAAAAGAAAACTACACAAACGAATGGCTAACTGCTAACAGGCTAATAGCAACATACATGCCACCCACCACAAACACGTTTGATTCCGTCTGTCACTGGTCCCTCAGCATGCCCTCATCTTGTTTATCCTCTAAATGGGTGGTGTTTGAGCATCTGGTACTGAGACAGCCTGTACTGCGGTGGGTTTTACCTGTAGCCGGATAACTACATTAGCATTAGCATTTCAACACCAGTCATTCGAATTTGCTCTCCGATATGCGTCTTTGTCCTCTAAACAGGCGTTTTTAATTACCTGTTCGCCAGATCTGAGCCGTACCGCAGTGGGAGGCACTGTGCACTCATGTTAGCTTATCCTAGCAAGCTACGGCTTAAAGCTCTAAGAGAACAGGTCTGATTTCGTGTCACTCCAACACTGATCAGTCGATTTTGCTCTCGCTATTGTACGTTTTTATCACCTACACTTGTGATAGCAGTGCAGTTGCAGTCAAATCGAAGGTGCACTGTGGTGTTTGGATCTCTTTAGCCAAGTTAGCTAGGACTGAAGAGCCAGCTAGCATTAGCTTAGCTAGGAGGCTTTCTGTCCCTCTGACATCGGCCACTCGACTTCGCTTCCTCAGATATGAGTCTTTATCATCTAAATTTATGTCAGAAAAGCTTTTGTTAGTCAGAATTGAATCTGTTCTGTGGTGAGCAGCGCTGGCAACATGCTAGCTAAGCTAATGCTAACTAGCTACTCTTCTAGCTGGTGAGGCAGCAGAGTTTATTTTTAAAATTGGTTTTAGGTTGAAGCTTTGATATTTATTGAATAGTGGGTTTAAAATCGTGCACTGCTTTCATTTATTTGAGAACTGAATGTATTTGAATGCTTTCAGGTTTGAAATAGAGCAGCAGGATGCTGTGGCACAATACCAATATAAACATAGAACCAATCAGCAAACAGCTACGGTGTTACATCATCCCACCGTACGGTCCTGTGGCCCGTACGGTTAGCTAACCTTGCCAAAAAAGCCGTTTTTTAAGCGTTCCATGTCGAACAGTGTCAGTATGGAAACACCACCGGAACGGTTACCCTCCCGTGCTCAGAACCGTTCGGCACTGCAGTGGAAAAGAGGCCATATAGTACACAAGGTCAACAAGGATATAAAGCAGGACATGCCAGACAAAAATCATGACAAGACAGGCAGTATATAAGGCACACAAATAAAAATAAGATAATGACAAACAGGCAGTACACTGAACAAATAAAGTAAATTAAAAAAAAATGTAAATGCATATACACGAAGAAACGCACACATTCAGCTTCTTTGTACCAAAAATACAATAGTGTGCTGCAGTAATCTGTGTCAGTAATCACTAGGTAATATTGTTTTCCTGTACAGAAGAAGGGCGGAGCCAGGGCACCCTCAGGGGCCACCCTGCTCCCTTCGTCCCCTCAAAAATGAAATCAAATGTACAGTTTTCATCTTGCCCCAGTTGTAGTGAAGCTTATGTTCACCAGTTAGCACTGAGCAAACTGAGTGATTAATTTATACAGGACGGTTGTTGCACATTGATCATGGCTGTCAAGATGCTCTTTCAGTGAGAATGTAATCTAATCAGTGTGTGTTCTGTGTTTTAGCCGTTCTAGGTCTGCCAGCCCGAGAGCCAGCCCCACACCAGACGCTGACTGATGAGGGGTCGACGTTTCACATCTCCACTTCGTCCTCTGTTTCTCTCGTTCTGACCTCTGGGGCCGTTTTACGGCTTATTTTCTCTCTCTGCTCTGGAACGATAAAGTCCCCTCCACTGGCCTCGTGTTCATCTCCCAGCGCTGGTTTCATTACGAGTTTTTGTTCTATTTTAATGACCAGCGTTTTCCCGCTTTTCAGTTTCAAATGTAAATCTCTACATCTGCGTCTTACTGCATCTTTCTGAGACCCCTGTCCCCCCCCCAGACTTTTTGTTCCACGTTTTCTCTTATGTTTAGTTTACACTTTTAAATGATTTTAAGGTGTTATTTTAAATTTCTGGTCTGTTGTGAATGTGGCTAGAGGGGGCAGTCAGCAGTGTTGTGGTGGATCAGTGTCTTGTGCGTATATAAAAAAAGAAAAATTAGCTATGGTCAGAGTCGGGCTTGAAGTATTTTTTTTTTTTCCCTCCTCCTCCTTTGAAAGTGGCAATGATCTTTTTAATAAAGTGAATCTTTACACACCCGTTTGTTTCTTTATTCAGACTGATGATTCTCGCGTTAAGATGTTATGCTACGCAGTGAATTTCTCACCATCCGATTCTCCTTAATTTCAGTGTTGAATTTGAACTTTGTCGTCTTTCTGATTAGCCCATCATTGAGTGCGTGTACATGCACTTAACAATAAATGCAGGAAATCAGATTTTGTCAGTAATCCGATAAACACGTTTACATGCTCTTGAGTAATCAGATAATGGGAGGCTCTGGGTCTACATGAGTCAGACAGTAATCGGATTTCTGCTTTGCAACCAGCCAATAAACTCGCAGAAGACGACGTGACGTAAACATAACACAAAACTCAAACTTCGTCAGGTTTTTATTCATTTATTTATCTGTTTATTTTAACATTGTGCGACTTGAAAATACGAACATAAATCATCCTTTATTTCGTGTTTGGTTTCAGTGCCTCTTTGCTGTGTCTCGCGACATTCACCGTCTGTTCTCGCGCATGCGCAGACTGAGAAATCCGATAGAAATCGGACAAAGTTTACATACACTTACAAATCTGATTAGTCAGCTAAATTCCAGCTCTCTTTATCGGCCCAATCATAACCAGATTTCTACAGTTACCCGATTATTCAAGTGGTGTAAACACCGTACTCCGATCTAGAAATCCAGTTATGAAATCCAATAAAGAGCTGGATTTTAGCTGAGTGATCAGATTTCTCTGTGCATTTTATTTTGGATTTCTCAGTCTGTGCATGTGTGAGAACAGACGGTGGATGTCGCAAGATGGCAGCAAAACACTTTGAGAGGCGCCGAAACCAAACACGAAATAAAGCATTTGAATATTCATCTTCTAGATGATGTAAGTTCATATTTTCAGGTAAAGTAGCTCAATGTTTAAAAAAAAAAAAACTCCATGAAATTTGAGTTTTACGTTATGTTTACATGACGTCTTCTGTGAGTTTTAGGCTGGTTGCAAAGCTGAAATCACTTACTGCCTGACTCGTAGACCGGGAGTTTCCCCATTATCTGATTACTCAAGTGTATGTAAATGTGTTGATCGGATTACTGACAAAATCTGATTTTCTGCTGGTATCGGATTATTAAGTGCATGTAAATGCACTCACTGTTATACTCCTGAGAGCTGTACCAAAGACGAGTAGGTGTATATAATGTGCATCCTAAAGCCTCTAATCTGTGAAATGGTGCCGAGATGTGTAAGAGGAAAAGCTCATGTAGAAGACGGGACTACAAAAAAGCTAAAGTGTGAATATGGACTCACTGGTGTTCCGTATCTGTAGCACATGCAGTTTTTATGAATGGCTGAGGTTCAAACATCTGAGACTAACATTTTAAAAGAGCACTGAGTTTATTTGCTCAAAACCCTTCTGAATAAATGTCAGTCTTTATTTCCAGAGCTTTCCTGTCTGTTAGTCCAGTGATGCTTGTAGATGTTTTAATTTTTTGCTATTTTATTGAATAATATAATGTGTACAGGCAAATGAATTGACAATTTTGTGGTGAGAGGGTTTTTCTTCTAAATGAAGTGTTTACAGTAAACTATCCTTTTACTGTTCAAACTTAGAACATTCTTCCATAAATTGTTAGTAAATGTATGTATATATATATATATATATATATATAATATGCAAATCTCTTAAAGCAATGATCATATCTCAAAATAACTTCTCAACCCAATGAGATAGTATGTCAAAATGACATCTCAAAATTATGAGATAATGTCTGAATAACTTGCCTCAAACTAATGAGATAGTATGTCAAAATAACCTCCAACTAATCTCAAACTGAGATCTCAAAATAATAACTTGCACCAATGAGATAGTATCTCAAAACAATAACGTCTCAAACTAACACACTTAAGTTTTACTTAAGTTTTGAGCTACTTAAACGATTTTAGGCAGTCGGTTTCCTCAAACCCTCTGAGTTGACTTAACTCATCAGGTTTCACAGTGTAGGGATTCCAGACGTAGATTTCCTGTATGCCATCTACCTCCACAACAGCAAAATACAAATGTATGAAAAATGGGTATTTTATAGGAGTAAACTGGGTTAACACTATATAAACAATACACTGATCAGGCATAACATTCTGACCACCTCCTTGTTTCTACACTCATTGTCCATTTTATCAGCTCCACTTACTATATAGGTGCACTTTGTAGTTCTACAGTTACAGACTGTAGTCCATCTGTTTCTCTGCATACTTTGTTAGCCCCCTTTTACCCTGTTCTTCAGTGGTCAGGACCCCCATGGACCCTCACAGAGCAGGTACTATAGGGGTGGTGGATCATTCTCAGCACTGCAGTAACACCGACGTGGTGGTGGTGTGTTAGTGTGTGTTGTGCTGGTCTGAGTGGATCAGACACAGCAGTTCCGCTGGAGGTTTTAAACACCTCAATGTCACTGCTGGACTGAGAACAGTCCACCAACCAAAAATATCCAGCCAACAGCGTCCTGTGACCACTGATGAAGGACTAGAGGATGACCAACACAAACTGTGCAGCAGACTTTACATCTACAGGGTGGACTGACAAGGTAGGAGTGTCTAATAGAGTGGACAGTGAGTGGACACAGTGTTTAAAAACCCCAGCAGCACGGCTGTGTCTGATCCACTCGTACCAGCACAACACACACTAACACACCACCACCATATCTGAAAATGATCCACCACCCAAATAGTACCTGCTCTGTGAGGGTCCATGGGGTCCTGACCACTGAAGAACAGGGTAAAAGGGGGCTAACAAAGTATGCAGAGAAACAGATGGACTACAGTCTGTAACTGTAGAACTACAAAGTGCTCCTATATAGTAAGTGGAGCTGATAAAATGGACAATGAGCGCAGAAACGAGGAGGTGGTCATGATGTTGTGCCTGATCGGTGTGTGTGTGGTTAACACGTTATGCCAAGAAACTCTCGAAGCGGGCGTGGCTTTGGAGTGGGCGGTGACTGAGCGCACAAGCCCCTCCCTGTTCGAACGCCCCCGCCTGTTTTGTCTCGCGCTGTTCGGCTCCTCCGAGTTGCCGTATTCCATTTTAAACGCTTCACTGGGGACAACATGGCTGCAGCGGCGGGGCGCTACTACAGCGAGGGCGGCAGAGCGACAAAAAGACAGAAAACAGACAGCGACGGCATGGCGACGGTACGGCGACGGTACACTCAGGCTTCGGATAGGAGCTCTGACTTCTTCCCTTTTCAGCATTTCGAGTCCGAAAAAAGCCGCGCGGTGGAGCTCAGCCCTCTGACCGAGGCTGAGCGGTTAGCATGGCTGTCGGTTTCTTCATCTCCGGTGTTGTAAGCTAATGAGGGCGCAGCGCTCCGTCTTCAGCTCCTCCTTTTAGTTTGGTTGCTTTTGTAATTTTTCTGTTCTTTTCTTTTATGTATTTGAACCAAGATGCGTTTTTTCTTCTTTTATTAGCCTCAGCCGGTTCGTTAGCCTCGCTAGCTTCGGTGTCCGTTGCTAATCAGTGGCCGTTGTTCAGACAATGGGTTTTTTGTTAGCTTAGATTTTTCCCGTTCCACCTTAAATGGTGCGGCGGTTATGACCGGTGCACCACTTAATGAACGGGACGGGACGATTTGAGTAAGAAAATTTGGCTGTTGTTGCCGCTGTACGGTTTAAGGCGGGAACGGGGGAACTCGAATTAGAAAATTCAGCAGTGCTGCTGCACCATTTAAGGTGGAACGGGGAAAAATTCGAGTAAGAAACTGACTCGAGCTTCGTGTTGTTCTGTCCACACACAGCCGTGCTGCACATTCGCTTAATCACGGCTCCGTTTTTGTTTGTGTTCGGTTTAAAGTGTGTTTGTCCCGGGTGTGAAAACGGTATTAATTCAGTGCCAGCCGACCGGGGAAACGCGATTATGCTGACTTACTATTCGCCAGCTTTCTATTAGAATTTTTCGTTCCACCTTAAATGGTGCAACTCTCGTTACTTTCTGTAGCTGCAGGCGCCAGAAGGTGAGCTACTGCTGCACCATTTAAGGTGGAACGGAAAATGCGAACAAGAGGCTTCGTGTTGAGGCAAAACTGCAGTTTATTCAGATTGTCCTCATTTTGAAGCGGTGACGTTGGTGACTGCACTGTTTACCCCTTTAGATATTAAGTTTCTGTATTTGAGAGACTGAAGTGGTTGAATTAGTGCATCTGTCCTCTTTAGTTGCTTGATATTAGAGGAAATTATTTCAGGTTACATTAACATAAGTGGGTCTGTTAAAATGTGACTTTGAATCATTCACTTTCTGTGTATTAGATTTTAATAATTATCTGTGTTTGTTTAATTGTGCAAATGTGTCTTTCAGCGCTTAAATGGCCTTTATGGACAACCAAATTTCCTTTTTTTTTTCTTTTCAAATATTAAATATTATTGCGTAAACGTTGCTAGATTTCCAAAAGGTGCTGTTGAAAGGTGCCATATGAAACTAAACCGTTTTGAATTTATTTCTGTGATGCCACAAGATCCAACACATTTACATATTTCCATCTGTTTAGCTGAAAGCGGTTTAGCTGCTTTTTAAAGGAGCACGGTACCAACCAGCCAGTCATAATAGATCTCATTAACTTATCAGTTTTAAAGGCACGTGAACAAAAACAGCCTGTTTAATTCTAGAGGATGAAGAGTTTGGATGACGGCCGTCTAAAAAACGAATTATGACTGTTCTCGATACATAAAGCCACACAAACTGTATAAGTGGACAAAAAAAAAGGATAGAGTAAAATTGTGTTTGGACGCTGTGGGCGGGAATCTTCAAGTAAATCTTGAAGTAAATGAGTACCGATACTGTAGTATACTGCACTCGAGTACTATAGATAGGTGGATTGTTGTGTTATTTCAGAACATGATTAATGAAGTGTTTTACACAGGTGGAAAGATTTTAGACTATGGTGTTATACGGTGCTGTAGAGATGCACTGATATGGGAGTTGTTGGCTAACATTGATATTTGATATTTTTCAGGAATGCCTGCCGTAAAATTTGCGAAGTGTGGAAATTTTTACATCTAGGTGGACTAACATTTTAGAGAAATATAATATTTATATCTGTGGGGTTACAAATGAATAAAATGTGGACGTTTAGTGTAGCAGCCCAGTATCTATATGTACCTATATGTATCGTCAGATATCGGTCAGATCTAAACATCCGTCTGATCCCGCTAATTTTTAAATCTAATTATCTACCAGTAGTAATATGATTCTCATAACATCTGCAATCCCTACTGATACTGTAGAGCTTTTTTTGTAAGGATGCAGTCTACTTTGACTGAATATCTGTTTGTGTGTGTTTAGGAGGGGTATGTTGACCCCCATAAGACACTGCCTTCTCTGGTGGTGCACGTCAGGGGGCTGATTGACGGCATCACCGAATCTGACCTGGTGGAGGCGCTGCGGGAGTTTGGGACCATCAGGTAAAGCACGTTTTAGTGAATAGTCAGAAATACTAATGTTGCTAACAGTGAAAGGAAGTGAGCACTTTGTTGGCGATTAGAGTGAAATTTTCATGTCAAAAATGAGTATTTCCCAGTTTCTGATGCACAGCATGGTTACTAGCTTTCTTTCATCGTTAGCATATTTGTTTGAGCTGCTTTTTATTCTCAATAATGGAAATATTGTGTGTGGGTCCTGCTCTTTTCAGTTTGTCAAAGATATTTGACAGGGCTGTCTTTGCATGAAAAACCCCTCAACATGCCTTTGCTTTCAAGTTAAGGCTACTTAGTTCTTAATGCGAGCTCTGTATATTTTCTCTTTTGTTTCAAACATCTCTAAAGGTGTTGTAGTTCTAATTTATTGAGTCTCATGGATTTTCCAAAATCTAGGTAGGGCAAAGGCCATGTTTTGGCTAATAGGTGTTTAATAAAGATTATTGTAGTATATAAACATTGCTGAAATGTTTCGAAACATGCCATGCGCTCCCCAGTATGGACAGTGTTTATATACTAATATTCGTACTGCAGCAGTTTAGCCCCGCCCAATCGTGTTGAAGTTATAAGAAGTGTCAGCCTGGACTGCTTTTTAGTCGAGATGCAACACGGAGCAGCCAATCAGAACAGAGAATATTCAAATATATGTCAAAGAGACACAGTTATACAAACAGCTGGAAAACGATCATGTACAAATGAGTTCTGGCTGTTTTTGATACATAAACCTGTCTAAACATCATAGGTGGAGCTACATACCTACCCAAAGTGTATTGGCTGCAGTCAGACATGTCTGTGTGTTTGCGGTTGTAGCTACGTGGTGCTGATGCCGAACAAGCGTCAGGCTCTGGTGGAGTACGAGGACATGAGTGGCTCGTGTAACGCAGTGACGTACGCCAATGATAACCAGGTGTACATCGCCGGGCGACCCTGCTACATCAACTACTCCACCAGCCAGAAGATCTCACGGCCTGGAGACTCGAGCGACGCACCCAGCGTCAACAACATCCTGCTGTTCACCATCATGAACCCCATCTACCCGATCACCACGGTAACACTTCTTCAGACATGGTGCTTTTCTCTGCTAGCAGTCAGCGAGGATTAACAAATTAAATCAGTAATTATATGAATAAATAACAAATCAATTTAAAAAAGCAAATAAATCTAATAAAAATCTAAAAATCAAGTTAAAAAAGGCCTGGAGTTAAATGAACTACAGCATTTCTGGCCTTCTACTACTTTTAATGTTATTTCATTAAGAAAATAAAATCCTATCTAGGAAAAAATGCATATAAATTGAACTGCTTCTTACCATATAAGCATTTAAAAATATGCATTATTATTTTACTAACTAAGACCTGCTGATTAATTAATTAAATTAAGGCAAATTCTAATTTTAAATATTTTTTCCCCCCAAAATTCTCATGAAGGCTTTAGTGTATTTTTTTTGCAGTGTTTCTTTCTTAACTGTCTTTTTTTCCCTTTTGTAAATCGTGCATAATCATCGTACCATCATCATAGCAGCATGTTAGTCACTGTCCTCTTTTTCTTGCACCTCGACTGAAAGAAGAAGTGCAGGTGGTCGCTGTGGCAACGCAGTGCTGCCAGCTGTTGTGCAAAGAGCGTTTGATGATCAGAGCTCACTGCCGTGTCACTTCCTTTCTGCAGGACGTGCTGTACACCATCTGCAATAACTGCGGCCCTGTGCAGAGGATCGTGATCTTCAGGAAGAACGGAGTGCAGGCCATGGTTGAATATCCTTCACAAACAAACGCTGCTTCATCTGCTCGCATAAACCCTCAGCCAGTTATGAACTCTAACTGTTTTTTCTAATTGAAAACACCAGAATGTGAGGCGGCATAATAATAATAATAGTAATATAGATATAATACGCGCTTTGCTGATGGTCTCATGGCAGATACAAATAGGACATATGGGAGCTCCTGAGAGAGGCAGCCGTAGGTTAGATCCAACTCACTATTGTATTGTCAGTCACCAATAATTTAACGATTTCACATGTCTGAAAACACTCAGTCCATGGCTTTAAGATGCACAAAAGTAATTAGTTTTGTCTCTGTTTGCTATTAATGTGTAATGTTAATCAATGTCCTGAATCAGCTCAGTGTTATTTTGCTTTAGAATATTCTGTAGCAGCCTGAGGTGCATCTTATTCTTCCTTACTCGTTATTTTGCTTGTTACACTGATAATCACGATGCATTCTTTCACACGTGGAACAGCTTGCCTCACAAAACATGGACACAGGCTTTAAAGATTTTTATGTTGAGATTACAGCAGTTATCCATAAACAACGAAAGACAAAACATAGCTACAGTAAATCTATCCTCTAGGCTACTTCACATGATTAAGCTTTAGCCATCTTATTATTGTAATGAGGTGATTTGTAGGCCATGAACACGCATTTAAGTAACCCTACAGTAGAGCTGGGCTATAAAACGATAACGATGATCATCCCGATATAACTGTCCTCGATAGAAATATAAGAAATGTTCTCGCACTTTTACATTTAGCGAAAAAAAGCACAGATTTCAGTTTAAACGTACCTGAAAAGAGGACTCTGTCTTGTGCGAGAGAATCACACTGCAGTTAAAGGTTTACACAGCGAGCGTCAGGTATTGTGGTTCTTACACCCCATAAACTACTACGATAGAATAGAGAAATCCAGTCGTCTGCTAGCTGGTGTTTCAGTACTGTGATATGCTCTGACATGGATGTGGTAGGAGTGATGGCATTAAGGCGGTGTGATCTATCACTGCCGTACTGAGCCAGCTAATGTTTGCTGTTCGCATTAAGCTGATGTTATTGAGAAACTAAACAGTTTAGCATTTGTAACCAGATAGCCGAGCGCTCGTCACCAGACAGCTAAAAATAATCTTTTCTTTCTTAAATTATGACTATTACAAAAATATTGCAGCATTCCAGCTGGCAAAAAACAGCTCACCAGAAACTTTCTCTCACTCTCCCATCACAGATTTGTGAAATGCTCCACTGTTTGGCCAGTGTTTGTCATATTCTGACCATAAAGGATAGCGTAAAAGAGCGACTGACCACTCAGGAGCAAAGGTCAGCCTTCAAACTTGCAAGAAATAATGACTTGACATTTGTCCTGCTAACGATCAGCCTGCAGTGCGTATTTAGGGCTCCTGACGAAACAGAATTAGCAGTTGTCTTTCTCCCCCAAGTGTGTTGAGCTGTCCAGCGACATTGTGTGAAAATGGCTGTTACTTGTCTGTATGTTGGTCTGTCTTTTGGTCTGTAATGTCCTTGACTCCTGCCTACGTTTGACTCCGTCCAGAGTGCTCAAAGAGCAAAAGCATCACTGAATGGAGCCGACATCTATTCTGGTTGCTGCACTCTCAAAATCGAGTATGCTAAGGTTAGTAACCAGCTTTCTCGAGGGCCCCATCCTGAACAGCTTAGTGTTGTTCCTGTTTAGCACACGTCAGCCTCTGAAATGTTTGATGATTAAAGATAAGCGAACAGGAGAATGTTAAACTGTACAGTGCAGGGTTTCTACAGAACATTTGTCATACTAAAACCTTGTAACTCTTATTTTACTTGCTTAATTTTTTACAATGCAAATTTTTATTTATGTAGCACATTTTAAATACAAAGGCAATTTCAAGGGCTTTACATAAATAAATGCAAAATAGAAAGGGCCTCAAAATAGGTTGGAAATGAGACATAATTTAGGTATACTAAGAGCTAAAAACAAGTGCAAAGTCTCGGCAGTCAATGCTAAAGACTAGAAGTGTCTGTATTCTTGTATTCTATCCTGTATTCTATTTTGGTAATGCAACTATGTATTGTGGCACACATGGTGTGGAGAACACTACTCCTATCTATAACAAGCCATGGACCAGCTGGTACCACAGCGCTAATGACAGTAATGTTTTCCAAATTGGGTATATGTGATGCACATATAAGAAAAATGATATGAGACGTTAAATGAAGCTGAAATTAGCTTTTTATTTGAATGCTGTTCCACCTTAAATGAGGCAGCATTTACATTAAAGTAAGTGCTGCACCCCCAAGTCCTCTTATTAGACTTTGTTTTTCTTTGAGCCAGAGGGAGAGGAATGTTGGAATATGCCCCGACACGTTCCTGTCTGAAATGTTAACTCCATGTTTTCCTGCCTTCCTCCTCCAGCCAACTCGTCTCAATGTGTTCAAGAATGACCAGGACACTTGGGACTACACTAATCCTACTCTGAGCGGCCAAGGTAACTTACATTCACTCCCACAGAAACACGCACACACAAACATCCTTTCTTCTTGATCAGGTTTTGGGGATTTTTACCTGGACTTGCCTCCTGCTGTGGGAATCCTGTGGAATTCTTGAGTTTCCTTAGCGGTGAAGCTCCACAGGCTTGTCACTTCAGCGACGCAACTTTTTTCCTCATAGCAAAACACATGTACGCACACACATTCGTTTTAAAGCAGGCCGTGACAGACCTTCTCACAAGACACAGAGTGGTGAGGTTCAAATGGTACACATACATACGCACACCTACATCTTCCCCTCTTATAGGTGTTTTTCACCACTGAGTCGCATGTCACCTTTTTCGTGCCAAAACACACAAGCATGTGTCGCACTCGTGCACTCGGCTCACTCGTGAAGCAGCGCAGCGTTGACCTGCACACTGTCACGGTCACTGTCACTCAGCATGGCCCTGCACCTACAGCGCACATGGTGGAGAGTTTTATATATATGTTCATTATTTGATTATCAGGAATACTTAATCTTAAAATGCCAATATGCAGAACAAGTAAAAGCTAACAGGGCCCACATATCTTGATGCTATCCTGAACTGGTCCCTGCTAATTTTTATTAGGTTTGGCATTTTGCAGTGCAATATTCTTTACGTTGTAATGGTACCATTTATAGATGAAGATACTCAGTAGACCTGCACTGGGGAAAGAGTGGTCACAAATGTAAGGATTAGGCCTAGTTTAAAAAAAAAAATGTTTCAGGCTATTGATGTAATTAAATGGTTAACATAAACATAAAGCTGTTCAGAGTGGATGGATGTGAAGTGCTCTGTACTAGAGAAACTACAGAATTGTTGGAATTGACTCTGAATGTTACTTCACTGGTGTTACATACATGAAAGGTTTACCATCTGATGCATTGTTTTACAATAGTTTTGTGAGGGTTTTGGCCCAAAACAATTTTTGTAAAAATCCATTCATGGTAGAAAGGTACACGCAAGCGATTATAGGGCAAAACCTTCCCCAAAAGAAACACACTGATTGTTTAGGATGGTAAGTAAAATTTGCTGTGTAGACAGCGAACCCCTAGTTCCTAGTTACAGACTGAAGACATCTAAAAGTTTCTCAGTAATGGACTGTTTCCCATCACACCACTCTGAACGACGAAATGAATTATGCAGAAATTTTGAAAAAATTGGAATTCCTACTGTAGTGGTGTTCTGGTCTTCTATCCATAAAGCATCTCAGAGTAGAAGAGCTATTCTTGTAGTCTTTTTCCCATTTTGTGACAAACACATTTGCAAAAATGATTCATTGTGGCATTGGCTCCCAGATTAGCTTCTACTCTGTTTGCTGTAATCACAAAAGGAAGAATAGAGTAGCTTTTTAGTTTATACATTTAGAACAGCAGTCACCATCCCTGGTCCTGGAGATCTGCCTTCGTACAGGGTGGCGTCCCAACCACAATCGGTCACACCTGATTTGCTACCTCAGATACATTAGTGGCAAAAAGGATGCAGCATTTTAGATGCAGGTTGGAACTAAACTCAGTAAAGTAGATCTTCAGGAGGAGGTTGGTGACCATTAGTTAAGGGAGATGTTGTATATTCTGGTCATATAAACAGAGATTCATTGCTTCTCTCACTGAAACTTCCTGTACCAGTGTGTACAGATCATACGTTATCCCAGACATCAGCTTAATTCAAGGGTTTGGCCAAACGTAACCCAAGTGTAGTCATTAAGCCAAGATATGTTTAGTATCTGTAGTTTGCTTTGTTAGTTTTATACCAGAGTTGCAAGGCTAGCTAGTTAATAATGGAATCTTATAGTCACTGTTAGCACTTGAACTGCATACCATGCAGGTTCAGTGAAAAGCTAAATAAGCAGACTTCACACAAAGCATGTCTTGGCTGATTGACTACATCCAGGGTGATGGTGAAACCACTGTTTTAAGCTCAGTTTGATCTGATGAGGTTTCTCTTTGTCTGAGCTAGGGCTGCACTGTTAGGAATGAGTTAACTGCAGTTGTGATTTTTGACCTTAGGACTCCCAACTTTGGCATCCATCTCAAACCCTTGAGTGCTCCATAGACAAACTGGGCAAATACACACTCTAAACACCAAAAGGCCAGTGTATGAGTAGTAATTTCAGGGAAAATAAGTGTGTAAAAGGTCTTGGAACAAATGATACAGTGATTAGGACCAGTCACGGTCAGAAGAAGGTCTTAGAAAATACAGCAGTCATTAGGACCAGTTGCAGGGGAACGTCTTAGAACAAATGGTGTGGTGCTTAGGACTGTTCTTAGAACAAACAACGCAGAGATTAGAACCAGTCCCAGTCAGGAGATGGTCTTGGAACAAACTGCACAGTGAGTAGGACGAGTCAGGGGAAGGTCTTAGAAAATACAGCAGTCTTTAAGACCATTTATGATCAGAAGACTATCTTAGAAAAATAAAGTCATTAGGACCAGTCGCAGTCAGGGGCCTGGTGATTAGGACTATTCTTAGAACAAACATTGCGAAGATTAGGCCCAGCCTTAGTCAGGGAAAGGTCTTGGAACAAACAGTGCAATGGTTAGTCTGGTTCCATTGACTTACATTAAAAGTAAAGTAGGTTTTTTCCTTCTCCTGTAAAGTTACCATTTTGGAGATACAAGGTTTTCTTCCGACAACAGCGATATGCTAATCTAGTCCTAATTGTGCAGCCCTATTACCGGTACCGAAGATGGAACGTCCCAGCTAATAAATATATTTTAGCATTTTTATATAGTTTGTTCTTTATTCAGCAAGACATACACCGAAAGGACCCTGTCATCACCTTTACTCCTCAGACACATTCTCAAGCAGTTTTTGCACTCTCCAAGTGTACGTTCTTCATACAGACATACACCGAACATTTCCGTCAAATGCTACTCCACAGACAACATGGAGCGGTCAAAAGGAGGCACACCGACCCCACATCGTAAACTCTGCAATGACGTCCATTTTCCAAAAAATACAAAGTCAGATCACATGGAACAAACACCTCACTACAGCTGACATTCTTCGCTAGCGTCTTTTTCCTCAAGACGACTACCCTCTGTCTCACTGATTTAGCATCATATTTTGGGGGATGGTCTTATCTCTTTGGATAATACATTACAGCCAATCACAGAAGACTTTTCCTTCACCTCACCACAAGCCAGCCAATCAGCCTGTCAGACATGCCATGCAAAGACACTCAGGTTGTCAGAGGATATGGGAGGATCATACATTGTTTTTCCTGTTCTCTGCTAATGTCTTGTTTCTTGGGTGCGTGGGCTACCTTTTTGCTATCGCTGCTCTACTCTGATGAGAACATGACAGAACATTTCTGAGCAGACACTGCCATGCAGGACTTCTACAACACCATGAACAGAGGTTGCCACGACATGCTGAGGTCACATTACCATGCCAACACACCAAGCCAAGACACACCAAGTAGACGTTTCTAGACGTTTCTTCACAACATGCCAAACAGATACTTCCAGGACAGCACACCAAGCCACGGTCGTCACTGCACGTCACCTCAAGATTGCTGCAGATTAAACACCACGAACAGGCATCGTCACGACTACATATCAAGCAGATATTACCTTGACAACAAGTCGAGGTTCAGTGCTCACCATTGCCAAGATTGCCCCGTCACGTCAACATAGAAGCAAAGATTTCACACCGTAGCTCTATGGTCATGGCCTCTCACGTAGAACTAACAGCACAGACATACCAAGTGTCCAGTCGCCACGTCCCGAACCTCGAACATCGTCATGAGAACACAAGAACACATCAAGCCTCACGTCCACCATCACAGTAGTGAAATTCACCAGACCATCACGGGGACACCACTGCGGCCAACACTACATTACAGCACATGGAAAGGATCACTGGGGGTTACCGTGGAGACACAAGCACCGAAACACGTAGCTAGAACCTCGTCATCCCTCCCTAAGACCTCTCTCTCTTTGTGGACTCAGGTGCTTTTGTCTCTCTTTCTTTCCTTCCTCCATCCCTCCTCCTCTTCCTCTGTTTGTTAACTCTGTTTCATTCTGAACGCGACGTTTCGTGTTCTCACTGCTGTTACGCCTTCCGTGTGACGCAGGTTTGGATTAGCTTGACTGCTGCAGCGGCGTCTGTCCTCAAAAATCGGCGCTGTGTCTGCAGCCCCTCTTCTTCAGAACGGTAAGCTCCGTTTGTGCCTGGAAACCCACCCAGCCTCAAAGCACTTGGACGAATAACTAAAAGACAAAGGAGAATGATTGTTGGCTGGAAATCAAACCTTGGGGTTGGGAAGGAAAGGGTTGCGGGCAAAGCCTCTCTCTCGGTCAAGCGGTTACGCCTTGGATTCTCTCGATTCTACCCACTGTAAGTAAGTGCCGCCGTTCAAATGTCTCAGTTGTGATGACTTTTGTACGGGCTGCTCGGCCAGTGTGAGCCTTTCAGCCCTTTGTGGGTTCGGCTTGCGATGCAATGCAGGCTGGCGTTTTGGGTTGTCTTGGTCAGCTGTGCTTGCCCTCTACTAAAAAGGCCTTTCCCCTCTGGCCTTAATACCTTAAATAAAGACAATTTATGTTTCTACCTACTAGAAGGTGCACTGATTGATTCTCGTTTATTTTCCTCTCCAAAGAAAGATTTTGGGGTAAAAGTGCTAACGTTGCTACTAAAAGCAAATTACACTCAGATAAGGATGGCTAGTCCACTTCAGAAGAGTATGTGGTAAGCAACGTTGGGATTTTTGCTTTATTTTATTGAGAAGCTATAATTCAGATGCGTAAATGTCAGGGATTCCTCATAGCTCTGTGGCCCGTGACCCTTAGGCTGCAGTCACATTGAAAGCAAGAAAAAATTTTCCAAGGGAGGCAAAGGAAATTTAATTCATTTGCCAAGAATGTGGGAACATGAAAAAGAAGTTTACCTGTGGCAGCAGTTAATTTCACTGTTTAAATTTCAGTATTTAACTGCCAAACATTTACCAAACAATGTGTTCCCTCCTAAAATTTGCAGCAGGACAGCCTGTACTCTCTATTAATTATCCATTATTTATTTTTTTTTATCTCCCCCCATTCTATCTTTGCTCTAACCCGGCGAAGAACATACCAAAGTGACAGGCCGGTGTGACTGCGGCCTTAAAGGATTCAGGTTCACTTGACTGATTTAATCAGTTCTCTGATTCAGTGGCTACACCAGAAATGGTAACTGGTGGAATTACCAGTACACTTGAAGATATTTTGGCTAGAAATTTACTGAATGGGCGCTGGGCTTACAAGAATTTTCTGAAATGTAGAAAATCGATCCATGATCTCATTGCAAGTCCAGAAAAACTGTAAATTTCTTGTCCTTATCAGGCTAGCGGAGTGTTTGCCCTGAAAATACAGGCCGCGAAAAGGTTTTTAGACTAGCATAGTTTAGACACTTGTTATTCTAGCATAAAAGTACAGATTTATTTCAACAAAAAATCAGGTTTAGAATGCAGACTTTGATGACTTGGCAAGGGCATGTCTAAAAGGTATAGAATAGTATTGAAACCATTTGTTAACCTCTTTTCCGCCCTGAATTCAGTGCCGTTTGCTCCACTCTGATATTATGTTATTGGCTGGGCATGTATTACAAACCCTGCCATTAATGTTCCTCACACCTGGGTTGGGTTTGGAGAATATTTGCACTGTTCTTTAAACAACAATACTGCAGATGTGTATTTTGTATTGATTGCCTATTCTTAAAATATTAATGCTGTTGGCGGTCTTAACTGGCTGCTTAGCTTGGCTCTACATAGACTGGAGCCAAGGTTTTCTTTCTGACAGTTCATTTTAAGGTCTGCTTCCTATTGATTACTAAACTATTAGCAAGCAATTAATAATACCCTAATAAATAGGAATATACAGTTTGTAAAGAAGCTGAGATTTGACTGACTTAAATTGTAAGTTTTCAGTTTTGAGCATGCATGTAATGTCTTTATTTGATCATATTCCTTTATTAAGCTGTCAGTCACATTTACAGAAGACCTTATGAACTTGTCACTAACACATTTCTAAGCTTGTTTGCAAGCTATGTTTTTGTTTACCTGGCCATTATTGATTGCTTGCTTATGGTTAATTACTTGTTAAGAAGCAGAGCTTAAAATAGTGTCACCACTTGTTCTTCAAATTCAAGATGCTATATTAAAATATCTATATATGGTTAATTAACTAGTAAATGCTACATTCTGGACATTAGACACTAACATTTGCGAAAAGTTTTTATTTAGACTTTTTTTTTTTTTTGCTTTTTTCCGCGTGTCTGATGTGTGTGTATACCTGTGTCTGTACAGATGCTGATTCAGACGGCAATTGGAACAATTCTCAAGGTGTGTTTGTGTGTGTGTGTGTGTGGGCGTGTGTGTTCAGGTGTCCCAAATAGATTATGTAAATGTGAGACAGGTTCAATGAATGTCAGTATAGTTAATTAGCTTAAACCTTCATCCATTGCTCTAGTTTTGTAGCCTCAGTCTGCTCATTCTAAGTGCTATTCTGAATATGCCGTATGTACATATGTTGCCCCCATCACTGTGTAATGTTTACAGCTAATGCAAGTCGTAGGCTCTCCTGCATGCCAGTCACAATTGCACCACACCGCTGCCTTTAGTCTGTGGATCTGGTTCCTGTGTGCTGCCCTTGAAGCTGATTGGCTCTGCCGATGTGGCGTTGACCTCTGTGTGTTCTCTCTGTTAGACCCCAATGCTAACCCGAACAAGCGCCAGAGGCAGCCAGCCCTGCTTGGGGACCACCCGCCAGAATATGGTTAGTCACACATACACTTGCACCACTCTCAAACCCCTACAGTGAAACTGCATCTGCAGCATATGGTCACAGCACGTCAGCCACTACTGTCAGCCACGTTTCAGAAAGTAATGCTTTGTTTAGCCGTTTGCTGTGTTGGGGTGGTCCGATGGAAATGTTCGTGTTGGATGGTTTCATTTAGGCCTAAATTATTGGGCTGAGCAATCCTCCATGAAATACTCCGACACTGTCATTTTAACATGCATGTACAAAATGCAGCTTCCTAGCCTAATTTTAACTGAATAGGCAAATGAAGTGGCTCTTTTAGAATAGCAAGATCTTCTCTGTGTAATACTTGGTGTAGAGATGTGTCAGTTTGAGGGTGACAATTCGACTGCATTCATTTTGAAACATTAGATTTGATTATAATTTTATAGATTTTGAAAGTGAACACATGCATATTAATGCCGTCTTGCTCATCGAGTCAGAAACTGCAACACTGCATCAAGTTTTCAATCAGCAGTGTGGTTACCTTTGTACAGACGTGTTAATCAGGCTAAATGCTCGAAGCTCGTGTTGGTTGCAGTGCAAACAGATGACGACGGCAGAACAGCTCATCTTGCTCACCGCAGAGCAAAGCTATGACAAGCAAGAAGCTCATTTGTGCAAGTGCAGCTATGATAGTTGTAGCCTTTTTTATCATTGTATTTAAAAAATTTCATGCAGCTTCAGAGTTTCTGACTTTGTGTAAGACAGAATTAATATGCATGTGTTCATTTTCAGAGCCTGACACATTTTCTCTGGACCGGTCTGTCTGGTCCTTTTTTGTTGATTTGTGCAGTCTTTAGGTGTTTAAAAGATTATAGAAAGAGTATAGATCATTTATAGATATTATAGATATTATTATTATTATTATTATTATTATTATTATTATTAATTCAATGCCACAAGAGTCCACTTCAGTTCTTCAGTCTTCCTGTAGATCTTAGATGTTAATCAGACCCACTACATTTATAAAAGCATTGTATTGTTTTTTTTTTTTTGGCAGGAAGAAATCATTCTTGGTGTTTGTAGGCCTTTAGGTTAGGAACATGGATGACTTTAAAATCCAGCACCTCATGAAGGCGCTCACCAGTATAGACTTACTTAGGCCTGTTCACACAGAGTCTGATTTTTACTGGCAAATGTGAGTCAAGGTAAATTTTCTGCATTTTACAGATCCAAAATAAAGAAAAAACATACTTGGTATGAAATATACAATTACGGTTTGAACATACTTGAGTTTGAACCAGTAAATGAAGCTCCCAGCAGGGGGCAGTGGTGCACTTTTTAACATGGTTTGAACAACAAAAAGCCTGCTAGCACTTGGATGTAACACAAGTCAACATGACAAAGTCCCCTGAAAACTCCAGTTAAGCATGTAGATGTGTGTTGCGTGTGGAGAACACATTACATGTTGTAAAAAATAAACACTACCTCTTATCTGATGATGTTTTGGGAGCTGGCTTGTTTTGTGTTATTGGGGAAAAGAATTTGGGGGCACGTTTTAAAGGGGGCAAATCCTCTTTTTGTGAAAACTTTGAGTTGTCCCACGACGTGTATTGTTACGAGATCATGTCTGACCCTGAGGCTATTATTTATTTTTTTTATTTATATATCTTTTGGCCAAAGTCATCTGTTTATTTATTTTCTATTAATAGTTACTCTTTCATTTCCTAAAGAACTGTAGTTGAATCTCAATAATCCTAGCAAGTGTTTATTTCTTATTTGCATCAACATTCATGTCTTTGCACAGTGAACTGTTCCTTTAACCTTCTCTCCTGCACTTCCAGGGGGACCTCAGAGTGGCTACAGTCACTATGATGACACGTACGGCCCCCCTCCCCCTCACTATGAGGGACGGCGTATGGGCCCACCTATGGGCCGGGGCCGTGGGGGGCCCCGCTATGGGGGTCCGCAGTACGGACACGGCCCTCCGCCAGAATACGCCTCTCAGGCAGACTCTCCTGTTATTATGGTGTATGGCCTCGACCCCTACAAGATCAACGCTGACCGGATCTTCAATATTTTTTGTCTCTATGGCAACGTAGAGAGGGTAAGTCTTGATTGACTTCTTATGTTGTCATAATCTTTTCTTTATGTTGTCTTCAAATGTGTGGTTTACCTTTGAGGCCAACAGGGAACCTCTATAAGCAAGTTGTGGGATTGTTTCTGCAGGTGAAGTTCATGAAGAGCAAACCAGGTGCTGCGATGGTGGAGATGGGAGACTGTTATGCGGTAGAGAGAGCCATCTCTCACCTCAACCACACCATGCTGTTCAACCAGAAACTCAACATCTGGTACATGCAAATCAGTGAAAACTAGGGCTGTCATTGTATCAGTAATGAAGTTATCTACTAATTATTTTGAGAATGGACTGATTATACGCCAAACAGTAAAATGGACTTGGCTGTACAGTAATGAACCATGCAGCGTTTCATTGCTTATCAGTTTATTTGTTGATCTTCTGTATGTAGTGTGTCGAAGCAGCAGGCTATCATCCCGGGCCAGTCATACCAGCTTGAGGACGGCAGCAGCAGCTTCAAGGATTTCCATGGCAGCCGGAACAACCGCTTCACCTCCCCTGAGCAGGCGGCCAAGAACCGCATCCAGCGGCCCAGCAACGTGTTGCACTTCTTCAACGGCCAGCCGGACAGCTCTGCCGAGATTTTCAACCAGGTACACAACAAACTCTCGTCCTTTTTGCTGTAGTCTAGTTTTTATACACCACTCAAGACCCACTAAAGGGGCAGGATTTGTATTACTCACTTCTGTCTTTAGCCTAATTGTTTTTCCATATAGTTACTGAATAACTTGTGTGGAATCCTTTTGCAACTTTTCGTTCTTTCTCTGCAGATCTGTGATGAGCTTGGACTGAAGCCTCCCACCAACGTCAAGCTTTTCACAGGAAAGAGTAAGTATCTGAGTTGCGTTGTTTCTCGATGAACTGTCGATTTGCATGACGCATGTTCTTCTATGTGTTTTACAGTCAGAGATGGAGCCTCAGAAACCTGGTTCTATCCGTTTTTTCTTAGTGTTATTGTCTGGCTTTTCTGCCCGTTTGAAATTAGAAAAATGAGTACTGAATGAAATGAGTACCGAAATTGTCAGTGGTGGCTCTGTAGATTTCTTTCCTGAGTGGCTCTCGTCTGTCACAGGTTTGTAACTGATGATAACTGGACGGTGTTATAAATAAATGTGTCTATATGTTGGCGGGTCTGTAGGTGAGAGGAGTGCATCTGGACTGTTGGAATGGGAGACGGTGAATGATGCTATGGAAGCTCTCTCTATGATGAACCACTACCAGATGAAAAACCCAAGTAAGTCATTCAGAGTGGTTTGATGTAAAACATTTCATTGGAGAGAAACATACAGAACTTCTGTACGGTGGTGGTGATAGAAACCAGGGCTCACCATGTTTCCAACACTTACTTTCCATTCAAAACCACCAGTGAAAATACACATTTTCTGAGTTCTTATATGGAATGTTGATGGTGCTAAATTTTAAAAAATAAGATTTCTTATTTTTCTTAATATATGATTGAAAGTGGTAAAATAGTGGTAAAGTATGACCAAAAAAAAAAAAACTTTTGTTGGGTACTTTTTGTGTTATGATGCATTTTATATACCTCTCCAATATGAAAAATGTGTTTTAAGCCAACATCTGACCTCAAAACTACCATAAGACAATGTCTGAGACAACAGGACACGTTTGACACCATTTTATGTGGTCTGTTTGTGTGAGGGAGCTTTTAGAGGCATTAAACTCTTCAGACGTCTGGTTCCTATCACCACCACTGTGAACAATTTTGACTGCTCTAGAAAAGAGCATTTAAAATAGTGTTTGAATCCTAATATTAGATTTTATGCTGATGTTTTTAAAAAAAAAAATGCTGGAATTATTTTTGCTTTGTTTTTATTAATATCCCCCGCTTTCTTTTCTAGGTGGGCCGTACCCGTACACCCTTAAACTGTGCTTCTCCACTGCACAGAACGCAAACTGAGCCCACAAGCAACCTAAACTGACATTTAGCTGACATTTGACCCTCACAACTAAGCCCACTAGCACACAGCGAGTCCTCCGAGGTGGACAGCAGATAAAACTCCCCCTTAAAGAAAGATAACTGTGTTTTTGTACAAACAGTGTTCAACTTTTTAATTTACACTTTGTCTATTCTTATTTACAATCTTAAGATGTTTTTTGTTCTGCCCTGTATATCACGTTGAAATATCTGGAACAAAAGAAATGTGATAAGGTTTCTGTTTAAATAAACACAATCAGTGTGATCCAGGTGAGCGTTTGTGGTTCTGTATGAATGACAGCATCTTCATCAGCTACATTTCTGTGAAATAACCACTCGTGGTTCATGATGAGTCCACTAGTTTTAATTCTGCTATTAACAAATGGTAGATGGTACTAGGGGTGGGCAATATGACTGTTTTATCGTAATTGTGATACTTTGTCACAGTATGCTTTATTGACCATATTGTGGATATCAGTACTTAAAGAACACTGAACTGCACATTTTATTACAAATGGAGCTTAATTAGCCCTCTTTAATTGGACTTAATATCACTGGGCCTCATTCACCGACCATTCTTAAGAAGAAATTTCTTCTTAAAACCCTCTTAAGCAGTTTTTACCAAGATTCTAACATTCATCAGTAAAAACCGACTCTACACACACTTAAGAACACAAAGGTGAGAACAGTTCTGTGGAACATGTCATGAATCTGACGTAGACTTTTTCTTAGAACCTCAAGAACAAATTTTAAGAAAAAACAGGAAGATTGGTGTCAGTTCTTGGAGCAAGGATGGTCCTTAAACGGCAAGCATTAGGAAGCGTGAGGCTGAACGCTGTCCCTACTAACTAGAGGTGAACAAAATAGTAAAAATATCAGAATACATAAAGGCATTTCCATGACCGATAATATGCATCAGGATATTTTGTTTTCCAGATGTTTGATAAGTTAAAACAGAAAAAATTTACCAAAAGGGCCAAATTTAAGAAAAATCCTATCAAACAATGAACACAATGGGCCTCATTCATCAGTCTTCCTACGTTTTATTCTTTGTTCTTGAGAGGTTCTTCGAAAAAGTCTATCAGATTCATGACGTGTTCTTAAACCACAGAACTGTTCACACCTTTGTGTTCTTAAATGTGTGTAGAGTCGGTTTTTACCTAAAAACAAATCAGAAAACACAATGTTAAAATCTTTGTGAAAACTGCATAAGAGGGTTTTAAGAAGAAATTTCTTCTTAAGAATGGTCGGTGAATGAAGCCCAGTGATATTAAGTCCAATTAAAGAGGTCTAATTAAGCTCTATTTGTAATAAAATATGCAGTTCAGTGTTCTTTAAGTACTGATATCCACAATATGGTCAGTAAAGCATACTGTGACAAAATTTATCACAATACCGATAAAACATTGTCATACTGCCCACCCATAGTACCATCTACCATTTCTTAATAGCAGAGTGAGAGTGTAAGAATCAGCTGACTTACAGGAAGCATCAAGCTGACCCAACCATGCTGAGATTAGCTCTCCGTTTGCTAACAGATCGTATGGGAAACCTACACGGTCGACTCCTGCAGCTGCTCTGGAACATCCCTTTCTATTGATCAGTGCTTTTCTATGGCGACTACATGTTATAGAAGCTGTATTAAAAGCTATGGATGAACCTCAAAGTAGCTGGATTCACTCATTAGATGGGCTGTCTGGATACGTCTGAATATATAGTGTAGTTGTGCGCAGTCTATGAGGATGAAGCTGTTGTCCGTTCACAGTCCTGCTTTGTGATTGGCTGGTCTTTGGGTGCAGCAGACAGTTTGGCCACTCTGTTGGCCAGACGCTGAAGGACGAGGTCGGCTGTACTCGTGAGACTGTGCTGTAGAGAGAACCAGAAAGAGAACATGAGGAACCAAATAGTGGGAGGAAGACTAAGAATAAATAACCCTGAAAGCACTCGCTGTGTATCACAATCACCTTAAACCTTATAGAGAGGTTAAGTCTCAGTGTCTCACATCTCATTTACAAATAAGAAAACATTTGAAGGCGAAAACCAAAAGTGGCACTTTTATGGCAAAATAACAGCTTTTAAATCTTCATTTTTGTTTTAGGGCTCAGACACCAAACTGATGAAGAGCTTGCTCCAGCTAAGACTGATGACCTTCCGTTCTCTATACCAGGAGACGGCAGTCTGTAAAACTACAACATACACCAATTAGGCATAACATCATGACCACCTCCTTGTTTCTACGCTCATTGTCCATTTTTTCAGCTCCACTTACTATACAGGTGCAAAGATTTTTGCCAATCTGAATGAATACACTCAGATTATAGATTAAGACTGAGGTGTTTATCTGCTCACGTCTTTTAAAGATCAGAGCATAAACTTCGTCTCCTCTGCAGATCAGTTTCTGCTCTGCCATGTTGAATGGTATAAACTTTCTCTATGACGCGACGAACATGATCAGAACGGACTTTCCGATTGGGAATGTAATCAGATACAGGCGTTTACACGGATATTATTCTTCTATTTAACGGATTATTTATAGGATTACCCACCTCGATCAGTCGGATAGAAATTGTATTCCGAATGGCCTCAATCAGAATAGTCTATTCCGATAAAGGTGTATTCATGGAAGTGTTCTATTCCGATTGAGCTTTGTCAGATTATTAATGGATTAATGGATTATTAGGCTGCATGTAAACGTGGCTACTGATGTGTCCACTTAAAAACAGAATGTGTTGTTTGTTTTAACACATTTTTTTTTAGAGTGTACATGTTCTACAAAGGAATGAATGAATGAATGAACCTGTAAAATGTGCAGTCCTTTTATTGTAAGAATGGCCAGTTCCTTCACCCCGTCCCCTGTGAGGTCCAGGTAAATGATTGACAGCAGGGGGCTCTTGAAGCTCCGCCTCCACATCAACTGGAACTGCCCCTCTGTTGCTCCAACTGGCTGCTGAAATTTGTAGCACAGAAGGTCCTGTGGGGGAATCAAGGGTTATATAGCCAAAAAGTCATGGAAGCTTATGTGCACCAGTTAGCACTGTGCTACCTGCCCAAATCACCACACGTCTCAAACCATGTTCAGTAATGTCTAATATGCTTATATACTTTCTGACGCTATCCTTGGGTTTCAGTCACGTGACTCCTCTGTTGTGGCCGCCATATTTGGGACCGAATTTCTGGCATCGCTGCTCCACACGGACGTAACTAGAGGTGAAAGATGGGTAAAATGACTCTCCTTACTTTGGAAAAGAAAAAACGTGACCTCGACAGAGTCGATAAAATAGGCTGAGATCCTTCTATAGTTTCCCCTGAACTCCTGGTCCCACTTTAACGGACGGAAAACTGCCAAATCTGTGTTTTCCTGACATTTATATTTATCTCATACTCAGCCCCTCTCCCTATTCTGGAGAGTCTCTCAAAGCATTTAAAAGCACAGAAGCCCACCAGCTCTTCACATCAGGGTGGGTAAAGGATCCCATGGTGTTGCATAAAGAGGAGAAAAACTCTGTGATCATAGGAGGAACGACATCGGCTAATTAACACAGATGTGATCAATTCTAGCCTTTAGATCACTTTCACTGATGTTATCAGCCGAGAGATGAACAGTCGCCCCCTAACGGAGCTGCAGACAGCCGGTATAACTTTACTCTCTGTTTCTGATTTAAATGAGGTTTGAATGGAGAAACATAATCGTTAAATATCAGACTGAATGTTGTGAGTCGGAAAACGACGTCGTGTTTCGAAAGACGTGATTCTGTAATAGTGTCTAGTGCCGTTAGTGCAGAGTTCAGCTCCAGTCCTGCAACCCCTGCACTGCATAACTGTGGTTTCCCTGGTTAAAATATCTGATATACCTGAGCTGAACGAGGTGAACAGCAGAGAGAAACACTAAACTATACAGTGCAGTGGCTCCAAGCCTGGAGTCAAAACACTGACTTAAAGGTCTGTGTGTCTCTCGTCTCTCAGCGTCTGTGTTGCAGGTGAATCATTCACAAAGCAGAGTGAATTGAAGGCAGCAAGCAGCGCAGTCACTCCGTGATTCGGTCCTCAAAATGACGGCGACTATACAGTGTGATGTCACGCGAAACGTGAGAATACAACACACTGTTATCTGTAAACACGGACACTAGTAGTCTCAAGACTGCTACTAGTCTATCAGAGACACTTGAGATATGACTTTGCATTAGCTACATTAGCCTCGTAGTTCCAGTGCAAAACTAAAAAAGCAAACGTGTCTTGGTTGATTGACCACATTCAGGTTAAGAGGGGATTCCTTTAAACTTCACAAGTATATTTAAGGCAAAAAATTATTACACATAATTTGTGGACACATTCACTGATCGCAGCCTTGGATGGACGGATTTCTTTTACCTTGTAAAGGAAAGAAAGAAAATCAAAAGTCTATATTAAAGCTTTTTTTCAGGGATGAGGAGTTTGTGTGTACCTGACCATACGTTCCCAATAACACCTCCAGCTGTCCGTCAAAGTCCAGATCAATAAGCAGAGCACACAGAACAGCGTCACACTGATCGCTGTCTGATAAACACACCGGCCTGCTGACACCACACCGCTCCACATCTCTGACAACACACACACACAGGTGTACACGATCTTAGGATGTGGGATTAAACATGAACATCCACAAGTACCAGTATGTATTAGTATATTAATATCTTACAAAACAAATGTTTTTATATATGTGTGTGTTAATATTTTATTAATTAATAATTATGAACACAATATATGTACATCACTGCTGTCGAAACAAAACATCATAACGCCACAATGTTAACTTCACAGGAGAAGGAAAAAACGTAACTAATGGAACTTGTCCAAGCACTTTTGGAGCATTTCTTTTGGTTCAGTCATTCTGAAATTTTAGCACGTCGTAATGGTCAACTGGCATTTTCAAATTTGGACAAAAATGTAGGTTTTGTTCCGACAGCACCTATAAATACTGGACAAAAGTCAAGAGACCACCTTTCATTTATTCATGTTTCCAGACACAATGACCACAACAACACATCGTCATTAAGTTATTCATTCTTCAGCGTTAAGAAAAAAAGCAGAAAATATATGATGTCCTAAATGTAACTAAAGCCCAGCAGTGAGGAGCTGAACTTTACCCTCCTCTGCTGTCACTGTAGACTGGCAGGGTCGCCTACAGAGCAGCGCTGGTAGCTGTTAATGAAGTAATGCTCTTTTTATTTGAGGGTCCCGTTTCATAGGGGAAGATTTCAACCACTACCCCTTCTAACTCAGTTCCAAGGGCCAGGGTGACACCCGAAACCAAGGGGTAGGGGTAAAAGTAAGAAATGGGATCAGGCCTTAGTATCATTTCTCAGTATTTGGCGTGTTCACTCTTCACCTTTATTACAGCTTCCATTCTTTTAGTTTTTCATAGAAATCTCCACACCTCCAAAGTTCAGTCTTAGAAGTTGGTTTAGCATCTTCTGCTCCTCACAATCCAAACAATTTCTGTCCCTGGTGGTCTCTAGAGGTTCTTGTCTAATCTGTTTAGAAACATCTGCCTTGGCCATTTTAGATGCACATGAGAAAGTCAGCTTGAAGGCAGTTAAGGTGAGTCTGGGTAGCTGTTTATGTGAATGTTGGTATCCATTTCAAGGGGAACATTTGGCCTCATTCTCCAATATCTACCTTAGTTTTTTCTCAAATTAGTAATTGAGAAAGATCCTAATAAAAAGTCTGTGTCAGATTCATGACGTGTTCTTAAACCACAGAACTGTTCTCACCTTTGTGCTCTGAGTCTGTGTAGATTCTGTTCTTACCTAAGAACAAATCCCAGATAAGAAAACATCGATGAGTGTCAGAATCTTGGTGAGAACTCTGTAAGTGGGTTTTAAGAAGAAATGATTTCTTAAGAACAGTTGTTGAATGAGACCCAGTGTCAGTGACTCCTCTGGGAACAGCTGTCGTTGGGAGGAAACAGCTGTAACTGGTTTTAGGTTTAGAAGGATGGAAGAATTAAGGTGGCAGTAGATGCACAAAAGTAAAGCGTGGATGAATTAAATACTGACAGATTTTATACTCAGCGCTGGACGTTTCTGTGCAAACTTCCGTTCCTGTTTTCTGCTTTTTTCCTGACACCGAAAAATAAATAACTTGTACACAGAAACAGAAACTGATCCTCACCTGTAAACAACAGCCATCTCAATAGTGCTGGTCACCAAGAGGTTATACTCTGTTACCTCGGTCACCTCGTCCACCTGAAGCCCTGCAGACCAAACACAGTGATCGGGTGTGGCACAAGCGCAACATAAATATGGCAAACTTACAGCAGGCACACACACACACACACACACACACACACACACACACACACACACACTCACCCTCTGTGTTACTGTTGTGGGCCGGCAGCTTCAGAGGGAAGAGGGACACTGTGGATATCGGACTGTCCTGCTGTAAACGCCAACTCTGGAGAATCTCTGAAACACAAACAAACGTGAAAGTATAAACCTGCGAGTGCTCAGAAACCGTGTCACTGTTTTTATATACAGTCACTGCCAGAACAAATTCTCTTATCTCTAAAAAGTAACTTTACAGGAAGGAGAGAAAAATATTCTCAACTGTCAAAGTAACAAGATTTAATTTGAAGTCATTTTGGACAAAATACAGTGTGAATGGCTGGCATTTTCAAATTCTGCCCAAAACTGCTGTTACAACAGCAATCATAGGCTTGTACAGAGGGGTCCAAAAGTCTAATTTAATTCATAGTTTTTCATTACAAAATTCATTATCGGAATGACAAATAGGGTGGAAAAGAGAATCTCACCAAATCTGAACATGAATTTCTGAATCTCAGTGCTGTGTTTGTCCTTCTTTTGCTTTAATGACAGAAGGCGCTCGAGCTGGTTAGTGCAACTCCATCTGAGAGTCGTCTGAACACGAGCTTCAACAGAAGCGATAAGACTAAAAAACAATCTGACCTTTTTAAACGGAAAATGAACACAGATTTGCTTAATTTTGAATAGTGAACAAGAAATAGGGCACAACCTTTAATATTGTCTTCATTTTACCATCCTTTGTTCACATTTTTTCAAAATTCTAAAATGTTTATTTCCAGGTTTAAATAAAATCCCAGTTTTTCAATGGGTTCTCAGACTTTTGGACCCCACTGTATTCAGCATGTGTTGTGTGTGTGTGTGTTGTGTGTTACCAGGTCCTCTCTGGTTGACGAGAGCGAGTCCAACACAACCGTTCTGACAGCCAAACGCGGTGAGACGACGACCATCGTCAATACTTAAAACATCCAGCCACAGCACACTGCAGCAGACAGGCACACAGTACAGTCACTCAGACTATACTGATACTGATACTGATGAGCACCAGAGCTGTCAGAACGCAAACTGAAATACTAGCTTTTGTCAAATTACAAAAAAAGCATACATTAGTGTACAAACCACAACTGACATCTGTATCTGAGTCGCATCTAAAAGCCTTATTCACTTCTATCACTTTTATTTTCTCATGGTTAGGCTGACTGAGAGGTTCTGAGGATGACTGATTCACCTTCTTGGACACACAACTTTGGTGTTTAGCCCACTGCAGCATAGTTATTTTCTGTTTATCTTTAAAAAATAATGTATTTAAAATCCAAATATATTCAAACGTTTGAAAGGAAATTAAAATAAGATCTTGACTTTCATTTCTGAGCACAGCTAAGACCCCAAATGAGCACTGTTTACAAGTAAATACACAAGTTTTCCCTTCAGACTTCAGCAAATTGAGAAAATTCATGAACACGTTCACTTTACTCACTTGCTTGGCAGCTCTTTAAGTTCAGGGAAGAGCCTCTCCACTGGCTGCTCCTCAAACTGGTGCAGCGAGGCATTCTACCAATCAGAGAGAGGGAGAGAGAGAGAGTAAAAGACTGAAATACTTCTACTAGTTAACTCCTTAAATGACCCGAAGTTTTATTACACACGTCTATAATCTAAGAATAGCTCGAACAGTTTGCATTGGAGTCAATGTAGTTCCTGAATAATGAGCCTGGGTATGTAATAAGCTGGGAGTTTAAGGGGTTTCAGGAATGGTTTGGTTAAAAAAACCAAATATACACCATTTTCCACCCCAAATGTAGCTGATCAACCAGAACATGTCTGATCTCCATATCTGGCTTTACTGGATCTACAACACTAACGCTGCTAACTGGAAGTCAATAGTCACCTAAATCGTTTCTGTGAATTCATCCACAAAACTTTAACCCACTGAAGCTGCATCCAGAAATCTCGAGTGTAATCTGCAGCGTCCACATGCGCAGTGTGGGCGCACTGGACATAAAGTCAGAGTCAAAATTGAGCCTGTCTAGTGTGGCTAACCGCAGCTACACAGTGAAGTTTAGTTCATTGTTACAGTTCACAGAGTCCCAAACCACATCTAATTTACTCAGACTTGCTTCAGTGGTTTGATCACATGCCAGGTACCGAGGCTGTTTATTGAACTGGGAAAATCTGCCTTTAGTTACAGGGAACCAGCGAACTGGACCCTCACTACAGGAAACACTGAAGCTCAGTTCACTGGGTCACTCAGTCACTTTAAATGTTTAACCACCTCCACTCTGCCTGTTTTACCTGATTCTCACTATTATTGTTTTATTTTCATTATTTTTTATCCATCATCTAAACCGCTTATCCTTCTGGGTCGCGGTGGGGTGCTGGAGCCTATCCCAGCTGTCATTGGGCGGAAGGCAGGATACACCCTGGACAGGTCGCCAGTCCATCGCAGGGCAGACAGACAGACATACACATTCACACACACACTCACACCTAGGGGCAATTTAGCATGTCCAATTGGCCTGACTCATGTTTTTGGCCTGTGGGAGGAAACCGGAGTACCCGGAGGAAACCCACGCAGACACGGGGAGAACAGGCCAACTCTTGTCATCAACCCTGGTCATCCAGCTGGGAATCGAACCCAGGCCATTCTTGCTGTGAGGCGACAGCGCTACCCACTGTGCGCCGTGCCACCCCATTATTTTTTATTTATTTATTATTTATTATTATTCTTGTTTAAATTATGATTATTTTATATCATTTTATATTGTTTCAGTCATTTTAATTCATTTTTAGTTTACTTTTTGATCTTATTCTGATTGGATTTTATTGACTTGTACATTTTAGCTACATTTTAATTATTGTTTTATATTTTCTACTCTACTTTTTATGTATTTTTATTATTAAATGTTTCTTTTTTTATACTTACCTGATTTGAGTCATTTTTTAATTAAATTTACTTTTATTATTTGATATGTTTTTACACATTACCAATCCTTTTTCCTGTATCGGTAACACTGTAAATGAGGGTCACCCTCAATGTTCCCCGAGGTTAAATAAAGGTTGATTGATTGATATCAACACGTCTGCGCAACCTTACTGATGTGCTGGATGTGGGTTCAGTGTATTGAGAGAAGTTTTGTGGACGTATTTACAGAAAAATGAGGTGACTGTTGACTTGTTAGTGTTTTTTAGCAATGTTAGCCTAGCAGCTTCAGCGCTGAAGAAGCAAAACTTGGACAATAAACATGTTGATCGACGACACCTGGGTTAAGAGGAAAACTGTGCACATTGGAATTTTAGCTGAAATGTTCCTTTAAAGTAGGAACACACAGAGTTTGTACCTCTTTGTAGAGGTGAATGCGCTGGTCATGTCCACTGAGCAGAAACACAGTCTCTCTCTGACCCTCTCCGAACTGCAACCTGTAAAACACAACGAACATATACAACACAGACACTGTAGACAACAAAGAGTGCACAAAAAATGTGTAATTTTATATATATATATATATATATATATATATATATATATATATATATATATATATATATAGATAGTCACTGTTGGAACAAAACCTTGTATCTCTAAATGGTAACTTTGCAAGAGAAGGAAAAAACATGAACATTTCTGTTCATCATCATTTTTTGAAGGTTTCAAATTACGCAAAAAAAGTAAAAAATGACAAAAATGAAGACACAAGACTCTCTGAGGAACCATGACAATACAAGACATAATAATTTATAATAATATATCAGTGTACCTAAAACATTCTTCCCTGTGATAAAATCGCAGAAACGCACAGCCTCAAGTGTCTTATTGCTTTTATGAAACGGCAGCCAACATAAAATATGATAAAATACACCATTTTTCAGAAAATAATTTAAGTTATTCTCAATAATAACCGACATAAACAAGTATTCCGCCAAGAAATGTAGTTCCTTTAGAATATGGTATCACTGCCAATCAACCATGGACCGCTGAATGAGGAGAACGTTCAGTCGCCCGTCGCTGTATATTGTGGTCATTTCATGAACTTCTTAACTTTTAGTCATATAACAATGGACATATGATAAATCAGCACTGTTTAATGCAAAAACTTTCACTTTATAAGAACTTTTCTGTCACCAAATCACCACCGCAAGTCTTATTTAGTACCATCCAGCAGCGCCATCTTCTGGGGCTGAATCTCAAACGGCTCCCTGCTCCCTACATAGTGCACTACGTAGGAGTTTAAATACTGGATTCTGCACCACACTGGCACAAAATACAGCTAAGAAACAGTCATTTGGGACACATTGACACTGGATACATGAAGCACTGTTTGGCTGTAGAGGCTAAAATGTTGAAACTTTCATAGTTAACACACTGTTTAGGGAGTACGGAGCAATGTGGGATTCAGCCGTTCACGTATGTGTGTAGATATAGATATATATCTGTCAGAAGAAAACCTCGTATCTCCAAAATGGTAACTTTACAGAAGAAGGAAAAAACCCACTTTACTTTTAATGTGAGTCGATGGAAACAGACTTCTTTCCAAGTCATTTTGGGCTGTTTTTTTTGGTCCATTCTTTATGAAATTTACACACAATGTAAAGGACAACAGGCATTTTTAAAAACTGAAAAAAATGACAAAAGTGGAGATACAAAGTTTTGTTCCACCAGCAGCGATATATATATATATATATATATATATATATATATATATATATATATATATATATATATATATATATATATATATATATATATATATATGTATTACATTAACTGCAAAATGCACCAAGTAAGCCTTCTACTAGTTCTGGTAACCTTATTGACTTAATGATAGCTGATGGTAGTGGTCGATAGTCGATGATATGGGTGAAAAAAAATTACGATACACGATTCTACCACGATACTGTGACACAGACAAAATGCGCTAATAGTCACATTTAAAATCTGCTATCAAAAACTATGAATACAACAGTTATTAGTCAACATTTCACATAATGCAGTATATCTAGTTAAACAGGCCTAATTACACTGTTTATAAAGAAACCTGCAGTTGTTCAGTGTTCTGACGATACAGTACATATTATCACGATAATATTAAAATACCATCATATTGCTCGCCTCTACCTAACAGTGCTAAGTAAGATCAACATGTCATTACATCACACTCACCATTAAACCAAACCAATGCTCAACACCACAAGTCTATCATACAACTGTAAAAGGTATAATAGTGTCTGATAAATAAAGTGTACAGTCGATGTAAACATGATGAACAGACTTCCTCATGCTCTCATTCAGAGCTATTATTTGTGTAGTAATTCCTTGTGAGGGAATGTTCTTATTAAAATGCAGGTCCCCATCATAGTGTATCTGATCTACATACATACTCTAAACACAAATATACAGTCTGGGTTTGATTTTCCAGTGTTTACTCACTCAGTGTGGTAGAGCTGGAAGGGGGTGAACTGCAGCTCCAGGTTCAGGCAGCTCTCTGTAAAAACATCAGCAGTTTCTCTTATTCAGAATCACTCAATCGCTGCACTGAGATGGTAATACACTACAACCACCCCCCCCAAAAAAAATACTCTAAAAACTTCATATATGAGCAGTTTGACCTGCTCTAACTCTACACCAGTCCTTAGGGGCCACCAGACGCTCCACATTTCTGCTCTAATTCAGGCCACAACACACCTGTACCAGGAGCACCTTCAATCTCCAATCACTGTGGACCGTTCCTCTCGTCTGATGGGCGTGTCAGAAGTGTAACCCAGTCAGCAGCGGCGTGTATAAACTAATAAATTCTAACAGATTATAATAAAGTTCTCTGCAAATGTAGCTGCTTGTAACATCCTAGGGCGTATTCTGTAATGTTATTAGGGTCCAAGCACACAGGAATTGCTCCAATTTTCTTATTGTCAGTTTTTTTTTCCTGAAAAACGTGTTGTGGAGAAGAGACCGTAATTCCTAGAGACACCAAACTTATGTGGGTAGGTGTAGTTTGTGTTCATCTAGCCAGGCAACAAAAATACCCTGAATGGCCAAAGGGGGGCGCTATACAGCAGCAAAACACATATTGCCTCATAACTACTATCACCAGAAAGGGTTGCCAAGCTTGACATTGTAACAGTAGCAGAACCCTTGCTGGTGCTATACAGAACCCTTTTCAAAAAGGTTCAAAAACGCTTTCATGATGCAAAGAACCTGTTAATCCTGCAAAGGGTGCTTTGAGTGTTCATGGTTCATGGTTCTATATAGAACCATTGTCTTTCATAAAGAAACCCTTGAAGAACCACTTTTTTAAGAGTGTAGAGATCTACCTTCCTTCAGACTTTGTCCCCAACCCTAATCGAGTCCACCATGGGGGCCATTTCACAAAGCAAGATTTCTCCGTTCAGCCAAACTTAAAGTCTGTCCAATAAGAAAAGAGTTGATGGACTTTCTTACTGGACAGTCCTCAACATTGAGCTTAACTTACCTGGATAACCCAGATATCCTGCTTTGTGAAAGACCCCCAGATCCATCTAATGTCTGCCTTCAGACAGTCTTGTTTAGCTGACGGAGGTGTTAGATTTGGGCTGAAGGTGAAACCTACAGGAAGGTAGATCTCCAGGAGGACAGCTGGTGACCACTGGACTACAGTCTGTAATCGTAGAACTACAAAATGCACTAATGTGGTCAGTGGACAGGAAAAAAATGGACAGAGTGCACATATAAAAATATCAAAGTTTATGAATCATTTAATTCAAAACTGCTTATTGTCCCAGCCTTAGGCCCCGCCTCCATCATACGAGAGCATTTCGATGTGCATGACTCACGTGCAATGGACTCCAGATTGAACTCTGACCCCGGCTCATAGTCACAGTAGATGTTCAGAAACGGAGTGGCCTTATCTCCCGAGTCCTGAGAGAGAGAGAGAGAAAGGGGGGATTAAAGGTAAAGGAAAAGACATAAACTCAGCTCTGAGTCCTGATTTGAACCACACCTCGCTCAAGATGTTCAACGTGACGCCTCCAAAGCTCACCTTGATAAAAGTGATGCCCACCACCAGGCCTCTGTTGGGGGGAGACTTGTTGAACGCATCAATGGAGACAATCTCAGCATCAACTGTGTGGAAAAAGTGGACGTTTTGTTTACGTTGCACCAAAATGCAAAACGGCATTTTCCAACCAGGGGCTGGATTCACTAAAGTGTCTTTAGATAGAAAACCTTCTTAAATGTGCAGTTTTGCTTAATGAAACTTAAGAAAAAAGCTCATTTTTCCAAAAACTTTAAGAATTTTCTTAATTTCTTTCTCAACTTTTCTCTTAAGAACAGTTAGAAGAACCAGCATACATTCTTCATTCACCAGCATTTTCTCACATCTTGTTCTTGAGAAAGATCCTGAGAAAAAGTCTACGTCAGATTCATGACGTGTCCTTAAACCTCAGAACTGGTCACACCTTTGTGCTCTTGGCTGTGTGTGGACTCAGTTCTCAGAACAAATCCCAGATAAGGAACGCTGGTGAATGTGATAAGGTGTACGGATGTGCAATATGTACAGTAAGGTGTCCCTATGTGCACATGGATAAAATAAACCTATGATTTAGCACGAGATTCAGATTCGGTCCTCATCTCTCCTCTTCCCTCTTCTCTTCTGGCCCCACTGGGAAGAGCTGAAGAGCCTAATGGCTCTAGGGACAAAGGATCTCCTGAGTCTGTCGGTTTATTTGCTGAATATAAAGCTGGACTATGTATGATTTTTCATTTCACTTCTTTTCGTCATCACAACCACAACCTGACGCATAAAGCAGTGGTCACCAGCCCCGGTCCTGGAGATCGACCTTCCTGCAGAGTGAAGTTCCAACTGCGACTGGGCCCACCTGCTCCCGGCTAAAGAACCTCTTCAGAAGTCCTTTATGGGCTGGATCAGATGAATCAGCACTAAAGAAGGGGTTGGGCAGCATACAGGTCGAAGCTAAACTCTGCAGGACAGTAGATCTCCAGGAGGAGGGTTGGTGACCACTGGCATTAAGCTACCTGACTAACAGGGAATCTGCTAGTATTTTAAAAGTAAAAGTGAGCAAGCTGGACGCGACCACGCCCCTTAGCAACAGCACTACCACGTCCCCCGTTGCCATGCGACTTACAAAGCTGCAGTTACTCATTTTTTACTCAAGTTTATTATTCAAAATTTCGTTCCACCTTAAATGGTGCAGCAGGCAGAACAGCCACGCAATTTAAGGTGGAACAGAAAATTCGAAGATGAAGAAGAAGCTGGAGGAGAACAGGAAGGTAAAGGGGAATTTCACCAATTTTTCGAAATTTCTGAACAATTCAGTCTCTGAGAGTAAATGGAGTCATTCGGAGTGGTTCGATGTGAAACATGTCACTATAGAAAAACCTAGTGACTCTGATTTCTTTACAGTGGTGGTGACAGGAACCAGGGGTCACCGTGTCTACAACACAAATATAGCCATTTTATTTACTATCCAAACCACCAGTGAGCCTAATCGTGTCTTCTGAGTTTTATATGTAATGTTGATGGTGGTGAAATAGTCATAAATCTGAAAATCTCGGGGGACTATTTTACCTTACAATGCCCTGCAGGCACCCCTTCTGCCATGAATGGATTAAAATACAATTTAAGGCAAGACTTTATCACGAAACTATAATAAAACAACGAGATAGACATCAGGCAGCATATATCTGACCACTTCATGTAACAGCTTGCTGTGAGGCAGCTTTCAGAGGCTCTTCAGACGTCTGGTTCCCATCACCACCACTGTGAACAGTTCTGACCCCGTTCCTCCAGAACAGAGCGTTTCACACCAGACCATGTCACCCATTTAATCATGCAGCCTTCTGACTCTTTGTTACCTGGTATGTAGGTGAACTGCACCTCTTTGGCCACAGGTCTGATCTTCTGCTGCAGGTCCTGGTATCTGAAACACACCACTTTGCCTTTGAGCGTAGCGGCGAGCAGCTCCTGATCTCCGGCCTGGCAGAGTCCGTACATGTTGCTCTGAGAGGGAAAGCGACTAAAGCTGTCCTCGGCGAACGGACACGAGCCCTTTATATCGGGCAGCATCGCCGCACAGATGGAAAAGCAGGTTAAAGAGATGAAAGAAGGAGGAAAAAACACTGTTTTACTTCATATTTCACTCCGCCGGTCGGGCCATGAGGCGCTCGGACGACCAAAACATCCGGATTTGAAGGGCGGGTTCTAAACGAGCAACCAATCAACGGCGGCATTCGGTGTTTCCGACAAATCAGAAGGTTTCGAACGGCCCGGCGTCAGAACGCTGCGGACGCGTTCCAAACCGTCAGCGCGGCTGTGTCTCAAATGGAAGCCGAAGGTGAAGCAGCCTGGTAAGGTCATAAAGCGGACCAGGGCTCCTCTGCGTCACTCTCTGTCCATCACTCCAGCAAGGTTTCTGAGCAAAAGCCGCATTTCCTTATTTTAGAGCGTATCTGTGTCATTGTCTTCAAACGCTTACGTCAAGTAAACTTTGTAAACATTGTAAACTTAAACTTAAATATATTAAGTATAAAGTCGTAATATTTTGAGAAAAAAGTTGTAACATTTCAAGAAAAAGTCGTGATATTTCGAGAATAAAGTCGTAATATTTTTGAGATAAAAGTCATAATATTTCGATAAAAAAGTAATATTTTAAGAATAAAGTCGCCAGACTAGAATTTTAGTCTAAGTCTATTTTTATTTTTATGAACAGTGGCCCTAAAACTCTGTCGTATTATTGTACTTGTTGCACCTGTATTTGTAATTCTATGTTTGTGTGACTGTCCCTGTATTGTTATTCTTAGATTAATTCTGGTTATAGCTTATAAGACATGATTGTTACTATTAAAAAAACAAAGAAAATAATTTTTTGAAAAATGTACCTGATTTTCTCTTCATAACCTGTTGTATAAGAATACATTTGCAGAGTAGCACTAAGTACTGCGTGTTCTCTCTCTCTTTATCCAGTTTGTGAACTTACCGTTCATTTCATTTTTATTTGTTTTTTTATTTGCCAGATTTGTGTTTGTTTAAATGCTTTACAAAGATATCACAGCTCTTAATATGTCTTTGTCTGCCATCATCACAAAGTTGACTGACTGCTTTTGGGCCCTTAAAGGGTTGAATACAGTTCACACTTTGGATTTTGACCACTTGGAGGCGCACTAGAGAGCTGCAGGCCCTGGACTGGGCTATCAGGCCTGCTAATGCAAGTCTCTGCTTATATGGACTTTACATTAGCAAGC